TCGCCACAGGCAAGTATTCTAACTATATTTTTTTTCCTTTACAGGCTGCAAAATACAAGCTGGCAGCTCTGCCTGTGGCAGGTGCAGTCATTGGTGGAGTGGTGGGGGGTCCCATTGGTCTCCTTGCAGGCTTCAAAGTGGCAGGAATTGCAGCTGCACTTGGCGGTGGGATTTTGGGCTTCACAGGTGGAAAATTGATACAAAGAAAAAAACAAAAAATGATTGAGCAGGTCTCTTCCAGCTGTCCAGAGCTTTCTCACCAAAGTGCCAAAAAATCCAGCTGAAGTATCAATTCATTATGGCCAGGAAGAAGTGTAGTAGCCGTGCTAATGACAGACTTGCAGCCTTATGCTTTAAATACAAGGCTGAGTTGTGTGAATTTTGATGACATTACTGTTCCTTGGGAGGGCTGAAACAGTCATGTCAGAATTTTTCTTTTCAGACATGGTGACATCAGTCCTTTGAAAATTATATGGATAACTTTTAATTATAAAATTCTTAAGTGAGCTATATGCACAGCTGTAATGATGGGTGACTGGTGCTTCATGCCAAATTTGCACAAACCGTCTTGCAGACAATATAAAGAGAGATACTTGGAAAACCCTAGTGCTTTCCCATGAATGCCATGAGAAGCTGGAGCTTCTATGGTAGTGCTCCAAAAAAAAGGAAATAAATGCCATCAGTCTTTCGTAGTTATTTTAAATTTACTTTCACTTATCCGGTTTCCCAAACTCTTCCTGTGTACATCCCTAGGATATGACCGACTGTGTGCGTTTAGTAATGCACAGGGAAGTGTCATAAGAGAAGGTGAAAATCTTGGGTGAGCAATGTGGAAAAAAGTCATGTATATCATGTATCACATATATCACATCTGCCTCCCTCAGCCATATAAGATCAGCATCAGAACCAGCTTTTCCTCTTCTTCAGGTACCTTTTTTTTTGTGAACTCCTCACCTTCCTCAAAGTGTAGTTATGAATTAAACAGTCTAAGCAGCAACCCTGCAGGACTGCTACTGGAGGTTAATAATTTTCCATAGTTGTTCAGCTCCTTGGCTTGTCCTGAGGACACCATACAGGGTGAAGAGCCAAGCTCTGGCATTCTGAACCTGAAGCTTGCTTAAGCAGCACTTTCTGCAAGATGTTGCCCTTGCATCTCATCTCCTGGCACCAACAGCACTCTGGTGGGAGAGCTAAACAGCTTCCCTGGAAGGCAGTGCTGCAGCCAGGCCTACTCCCTCAATAGTCTGTTATTCCCTCAAGGGTGGCATTAGGCACCAGGTCAGCGGCGGGTGAGGCAGCGAGGCCCCTTGCATGGTGGCTGCATCCCCAGAGGATGGGACTGTCGAAAACATCAACATGATACTGTTTACCATGTAAACCACGGGTGTTTGGGGCAGCTGCACACCTCTTGCATATGGTGCCAAAAAATCTGCTTCCACCCACACTGTAGAGTAGCTGCTGAGCCTTTTCAAGATTTTGGGACATGCTGTTGAGCCTGTTATGGGGTGAGATGCTGCTTCTGCTGGCTTTTTATAGTGGATACTTATTATCTTACCACCCTTAAGAAGCCTGTTGCTGCTGAAGCTTCCATTGTTAAATACAGAAGTGTTAAAGTGTTTTTATTGTCACCTAATTGTACTATTGTCACATAATCTACTATTTGGCACTTTCAGGACAGTTCCCAGACTTATGCTGCTACTGTTTAGGGGGAACAGAAATTGAGGTTTGGAAGCCATTTTTTAAAGTTCTTAGATTGGTCAATTCATCCTGAGCTCTGCTTGAGTTCAGTTTTATTTAGGTGCACACTGAAGTCAGTGTTTAGATAAGGCTCCCTAGCAGGGAACACTGTCCAAGGAAGCATCCTATAGAAACAGCTCTTTGTCGATAACCACTACTTTGGTATCATCACTGGAAATCACTGTCTGCTACTGACAGATGATGGGTTTTTGTGCCTAGAGACATTGTAAACAACTGTTAGTTACAGCACAAATAACTTCTTCTGAGCAGTTCTTCCTTATTGCTTTTAAAATACTGAAATTGCTATAAGCCAGAACATTGCATCTATTTTAAGTAGGTCTGAGGCTCAGGGAAGCAATGTGTGCAAGAACAGTTTTCACCAGTATTTGCAGACATTGTCTAAACTGCATTTGCTAAAGCCACAGTAAAAATCAGCTGGAGTGCAAAACATGACCCGAGTAATTCAGCTCATTTGCTCCTGACCGGCAAAAAGCGCTTTTCTTTAAATGCATCTACTTTGGCTGTAAACAGAGTTAATGAGCGTGTAACAACTTCACAGGCTGTTCATTCCTTTGATATTTATTTTCTACATTTAAAGGAATACACTAAGAAAAAAAAAAGTGTTTTTAATCAAAAACTGTGGTTGATTCTTTGTATGATTTTAAACTGCTGTATCTGCTTTCCTATCATATGCTGTGAAACCTCCTGCATTTAAATGACAGCAGCCACATCAGCGATCTTGCGGACTCCATCCTCTCCCCCCCACGCTGGATTAATGCCAGGACAATCTAAATTCCTAAGACTGAATTCCTACCCCAGCTTATACAAATTCAGCCTGATATGCACTCAGTTTATGAAATGTCTAGCAGGAGAACTATTCTTCCCCCTTGCGTTTTTAAGGAAGCAATTTCAAAGCATTGTGTACACACTAGATGTGGGAGTCTATTATTTAAGCTACGATTTTTTAAAATAGGTGGGTTATTTACATATGTGAAGAAACATCAGCATCTGAGTAACCAAACTAGCATTTAAATTGCTAGGCATGTTAGCCAGAAAAATTGTAAGATATAAATATCTCTTTCAGACCAAATAAAAGTGTTTTCTTATGAGACTGGCTGTAACATTTACTGAGAACGTTGGGGCTTATTTCCTTTCAGCATGTAAAAGATGAACCCCTCCCAAATTTTATATTATTAAAACAATTGCACTTCCAAGATTTAAGAATCCTGTATTGAGTTACCAAACACATGCTTCAGCTATTGAAATATTTACATTGACTGAAATTAATACAAGTTCCTAAAGTGCCACATGAATCTAGTAACTCGTACACACATGCTAGCTTAGAAATGGACTTGGCAAGTTCAATTAAAAAGAGTTTGGAATACTTTTATTCCATATAGGGATAATACTAATATTTTTGACAACTTCCCATGTAAGCCTTGAGAAGTGTTAAAGAGAGTGGTAAGCTGAGCACCAAATGGTTAAAATACAGATGCAGATGATCAGAGTCAAACAGCTCAGTCTGAAACACAACTCGGATTTTGTCCAGCAATTGCTCTCTCCAGGCAAATTCTCTGTATCACCAGACACATAAAAGCTCAAGTGACACTCAGCAGCATGTTAGGCAAGGACAGCTTGGCTTTAGCTGTTCAATCTTCTGCTTGCAAATAGAAAAGTCACTTGAACGCCGTCACAGCCAGGTCGCTAGTCATCCATAACCCAGGAGAATCAGGTCCAGCTCCAGTGAATACACACTGAAATTACTGTAGTGTGTAACTGTCATGAAACTACGTGTTACAGCTAATTGTCCACCTAGTGCTGGGATGCTAAAGCTCTGGGAACAAGTCCTTAGTCTGAAAAGCAAACTTGGATTAAGGGAGGTTTGCAGAGAGGGTTCATCTCTTTCTAGCTAAAAGCACCTGCCCCTGGACTGCTGGGTGGATTATGAAGAAGCATTTTCCTCCAGAAAGAGAAGTTTTGACATCTCTCCCACCAAACAGCATCTATAAATAAGAAGCCCAAGGAAAAATAGGAACCTCAGAGGAGTAAGATGAGTACTTGCAGGCATCATGCAGGAATTGACTAAAATTTCGGGTGCCAGAACTGTGTAGCACGAGCTGTAAAAAACAAGTGGTAGCCTTAAAACCACAACTAGCTCACATCTTTAGATTCCAACTGGAAGGCAGTATGACTCAGCTGCCAAAAATGCTTGATTTGGCATGAGATGGAGAACAGAACAGGAAAGGCCAAAAATGTACAGGTATACAAAAAAGTATACCTGTAAACAAAACCTTGCAATACTTTTCTCAGCTCTTAAATCTGCAGCTGCTCAGTTTGCTGTAGCTTAGTGTAGGTGGGTACTAGTGATTCTGTCCTCAGAATCGCTCCCTAGAAAGCTCCTGTTCCTGGTGCTGCACGGGCTTGATTCAGGAGGCTGTCCTGGGATCAACTTTTGCCACAGTTTCACCAGACCATGAAAGTCTTCTGTCAATAACTGACCAGGTGGCATCCGTAGCTGAGAGGCAGAAGGAATCCTGAACAGTTACTACACAAGTTGGGGCACTCTCCTAAGTAAACCTCTGGACAGTGTTCCCCCTGTCCAGAGAACAAGCTCACTTCTAAGGACACTAAACCTTGGGGGCCCAAGTCGGGTCCTCGATTCTTTGTAGTAAGTGTACTATACAAATTTATCTCCAACAATGCCCCACAAATTAACAGATGCTGTTCCATCTTACAGATTCTATGAGTTCATCTCACCCAGCAGCTTGAAGATTCATTGAGAAAAGCCCATATGCTGGTGTAATTTGTAACAGAAAAGCAGTCATTCCTTCTTCAGAGCAGAATTCAAAGATTATGCAATAAGTAAGGCACAAGCCAGACAGAGAGAGTAACAGAAAATTTGCAGTGGTTCTTTGAACAGTAAGCATCTGCCAGGAAGGCAGGGATCTGGGGGAAAAACAAACAAAAGAAAACCCCCAGAGACTAATCCTAACATACACACAGACATTAATTTGGGACTGACAAAACTCAGATACCAGGCCAGCCCCAGTCCTCTCTTACTATGAAGGGTTTCCAACATTCATGTTCTTTTAACACAACCATGTGGGTAACACAGCAATCTTAATTCAGAGTAGGTCAATACAGCCCCTTCATTCAAAGTACAGCCATTATCATTGAAACCTTTCCTTTCCTCACTTGGTATTTTAAAATTCAGTTTTGTTTAATTGCTTGGACATTTACAGTCAGTAAATCACCACACAAGATTCTGTAAAACTTTAATTTATTCCCCTCCCAAGTATGCAGAATAGAAGACCCTCTTAAGTTGGAGAAAAATGTGACAAAGAAATAGATTACCAGGATAGCTGTTCACATGAAGAAGAAGAAGAAAAAGCACATACTACCAAGGTTACACAGAAAACAACCCAGAAGTCCTATTTAATGGGATAGTGCAAGTTAACAGCATGTCTCTGGCAAGGATACCTTCATTTGGATTATAAAAGTTTTACAGAACAGAGTTAGATCAAGAGTCTGGATGGGTCTCTGATATTTTACGATACCATTAAGAATGTACTGTTTGAAAGATGCTGTACAGAATGACCCACCAAACAAATGTATTTACAAGCCTGGGGAGAAAAAATTATTTTTCAGTTTATTCAAAATAAAAATACACATAGAATTATGAAAATATAGGTTTACTATTTCCACCACACAGAAGTCAACGCTGCTGTCTGAAAGGCTTGCAAGATTATTTCAAGTTTTTAAAGTTCATCTTTTTCCCTCAATAAGGTGTACCTATGTTCACTGGGTGCCAGTTTCTGGAATGAGCTTTCTGGTGGGCTGCTTGCTAAATCCTGAATTGGCTGAAAAACAGAATAAACAGTAAAATTGTTCGTTAGACTAATTTTGATAACCATTCACCTCCATAAAATGAATTTCTAGCATTAATTATGGGAGTGCATGAATGTCCACTATTCCCACAAATTAAATTTGGGGTTGTTTTTTTTTGGAAGGCACATTATAAGCCCCAAGTAGGAGGAACAAACATGCACGCACATATTAATTAAGCACTTTCAGTTAAGGATATTCCTTTTGCTGGCACATTGCAAAGGTAATGGTCATCACACAAGCTTCTGTACAAGTCACTTAGAAGTATTTCAAATGTACCCCACTGTATATTTGCTTGAGTTTGTCTACCACTTGCTTTGAGGGTATTCTAATTTGTGCTTGTGTTTTATGAAATACACCAGAGCAAAAGAGCCATCGCTGACAAAATTTTTAGTATTTTATGGAAACTAAAAAAAAATCCCACACCTAGACCAAACCAAAAAAACCCCAACACAAACCCCTCCATGCAATTCAAGGGACATAGGTGACCTAAGCCAGCAGCCTCCAGTTTAGTTAAGGCCAGATTTCCATCACACACACATCCACAAGATGGCAGGATGCCATACGAAGATGAGAACATAAACATCCCAGGTTTTGTGTGCATTTCTCAAGGCAGAATGGAGACAAGAGCAAGCCTGCAGCTCTAGGCTCCATGCCTGTGCCCAGATATGCAGGCAGCAGGATCCAGGGACTCAGCAGATTCCTCTCTCCCTGGCCAAGCCTCCTCCTCACGGCAGGTGCCTCAGAGCGTCTCTTCCTCATGCACTCCTGTCCCCTCCAAGCTGACAGACTGCCTGACCTCTGTCTCACTCTCCAGCCCTTATTTCTGCACCTCTTCCTGTTGACTTGAATTCTGGTTGCTCAATGAATTCTGGAGAAACACAGGGATCTACTGGTTAAATGAATTACTGCTGAGACAATTCAGCCCACATGTTTTATTGGCCAGTCATGACGACGTTCAGAAGCAGTCATTCTCCTGGCCAAGGCAAGCCCTCTAGGGCTTTCATGCTTTTAAATCTTTTAGCTTTAAGCAGGGCAATAGGAGTCTGCACTCAGAGGGCTCAGTGCAGCGCCACCCTTACCACATCCCAGAGATAAGCAGCAAAATGACCCTGTAGCTATAAATAGTTCCTCACCATGGGTTCTCAGGTGGCCTAAGGCAACCCAACACAAGGGCTCCAGGTCTCCTCTGGGACCAAAGTGGTTCCTTGAGCCCAGACAATGCAATGTATAACTTGAAAGAAGTGTTTTAAATGGTTATTTCTTTAGACAGTGTCCAAGGTAATGAAAACGTTCCCTGACAGGCCGTTCCATTTGCACTTTTCAGCATGACACAAAGCACATGAGCTGAGTGGTGTATCAAGAAGACACAAGGCTGATTAAGACACAGAAGATTGGGCTAAGCAGAGGGAATCAGGGCTGGTAATGTCCTTTCTTTCCTGACACAGAGGTGCTCCCGAGTTTTGTCTGGAGAAGGATCTAGTAGTTGTGTTCCTGAAGAGATCCCAGGAGTGACTTCCAGGCATGTAATTACACAACATGACAACCTTGGAACAGAACCATGAGGAACCCAAACTGACAAGTGCAGCCTGTGACCACAACTGATGCCATTTGTTAATAAAACCAATAAGGTCTATTAGTGCTTTTCCATGTTTTCTTGATGCTCTAAGAATCTGCCTCCTGCTTGGATTGGCAACTTTCTATATAAAACATTCAACTAATTGCTCTTTCCCCTCAGAAGCACCCTGTAATAGTGAGTTGTGTGGGAAATAAGGCAGCTATGATGTAGTATCAACTTTTGCACTGAAGTCACATGAGAATCACGCAAGTTACATAAGAGCAGCTCTATGAGGCCAGAAGAGTCATCTACTCTGAGATCTGTTTCAGTGGAGAAAATATATTTTCTTATAATTTTCCCTTATTCAAGGCAAACAGGTACCATACGACCCCTAATGCTCTCCTTGCCTTTACCCAAAGGAAGTTAAAGGAAGTGCCAAGCAGAATTGGCAACGTTACACTTCTGTAAACAGATTTATCTTTCAGGAGACAGAGGCTAAAAGTATAAACATATTAGAAAGTACAGCTCTGACGAGGAGTAAAAAAAGGTCCTTACTATGGCCAAATTAAATGTATTTGTTGTAACATTACCTGACCAGGTGCTACATCAGTTGGATCCGGGCCATGATGAAACTCTCTATGCAGTTTTCCAGAATGCAAGTCTAGTACAAATTGCTTCAGTTTACCTGGAATTCTGGAACAAATTAAACAGAAACCACCACATGTTTATTACAAGCTAAGTCCAAACACAGAAGATTTAAAATGCACTGTTTAGAGTAGCCAACTTTTCTTTATCTAGCACACTATGCCCACTTTTAGGTGATTATTAGAGGACACGAAGCCAAATGGTTTGCTAAGGTACCCTACCAGTTTCTCTTTCTTTCCACTGTCTCTTGAGAACACAGCGAGTATTTAATCTTTTCAATAACTCCCACAGAGTTGTACCAGCTGATAACTTCATTGTATACTCCCTTCAGCTCCCCACTAACTGTAATGTAAGAGGGAACAGCAGGTTCCAAATGCACAGTTTACAGACGCAAATGACAGTTGGGTACCAGTATTGACAAAACATCTTTGAAAGGCTCTCTATTACCTCAGCAACTGCATATACACCAGAGATATGCACTAAGAGGATATCAATGTAAATCTAAACTGAGATCATTTTACTGTCACCCACAGCAAACGTGCTAAACTACAGCATCCAATTTTATTTGTGAAATGTCAGATAGGCTAAAAATCTCAAAGTGAAGAGTTGATCTAGTAAGTATTAAAGATGAGATAAAAGACTATAATGAGCACTATGCATGCAATCAAAAGGTAATGTCTGAATAGAGACAGGTTTTGTAGGGAGTCTTTCATCAAACCAACTATTACATTTAGGAAAGAGGAAAAAAGTGTGGTCAGACAAGCTATCAGCAATATTTCAGATAGTCAGAAAACTCTGTGCATAAAACGCAGCATAATATAGAGTCAGAGAGTATCAGTAAAGCAATGTCTGTAACTGATCAGTATTACAGTGGTACTTTAAGAGATCTCTTCCCTTCCCAGGTAAGATCAGGAATGAGTACTGATGGAGAGAAAGAGGTTCATTCTAGCCTAGTGATATGGACAGCAGAATTACTGCTCCCTGCTTTACCTTGGGCTCCTGCCCTCTTCTAGGTCAGGCAGATTGCTGGAGACATTCTCCTTTCCTAATGCAACAAGGGCACTTGGTACCTACAGCCGTGTGTGGCTCAGCCTGTTCTTGCTTAGAAGCTACAGTTGAACACTCCCTGCTATCATTTCCAGTCTGGAATAGCAGGATGAATAGGGATGGGCGGCCAAAGCTGATGGTAAAATATTGAGTGATGGTCTCATTTGCCTATGAAATGCCCATTCTCCAAAAAAATATGAACTTCCTATAAAGAGAGAGGAAATCTTTTGGTGGGCCAGTTTGTAAAAGAGTCCAGGAAGTGTACTAAACGGACAGATATCCTTACAGGTAGATGAAAGTCTCAGAATTAAGATTCTACTTATTATTAAAAACCAAAAAGCCCCCACAAAACCGACAAAAAACCAACAAACAAACTAAAACAAAAATTCAAACCACATACACAAGAGGATATCACCCCAGGTGCTCCAAGCTCTCCTTGTTTTCAAACCGTTTGTTAGATATTTCTATGTATCAGCCCAAACTCCTAGAGTAAGGCTGAATAATTATTTATCGTTAGGCAACTGTCTACAATCCTGACATCTCTTCCAGCTTCATTTGTATGTTACAACTGGTACACATCAAGCAAGTAGCTCTTATTATTCTGACAGTTTCACAGAAACAGAATGCATAAGAAACATAAAATGAAAGTCTAAACTAAACATTTCTATTGCCCACATAAGAGATATTAATTTATTTTAGGGCTGTTTAAAAAGTGGCAATAAAAATAGTGTTTTTAAAACGTAAATATCCTGCTATGCTTTGCTGGCATGTGCTGTGAACACAATATTCCACACAAATAGGAACACATTTGTGTTCCTATCAGAATTTCAACATACATGGCTTCAGAAATTTGAAAAGCACTATTTAAGATATATCAAACTGAGACCACATTTAATAAGCCTGTGGAGAATTACAGAAAGCAGCCAAGTTCAAACCCTCCTTCCAAATGTCAACATTTCAGGTAGAAAAATGCCTCTTGGAATGGCAGAATCAGACACGGGATTCCATTCACGTTGCACACTAAATCTGAGCTTTGAATCCTTGGCTTTGACAACAACAAAATACCCAGCCTAGGCATCCAACCAGGACTCAAGAGGCAGTGCATGTGCAGGTACTTCCTCTGAGGACAGAAACTGGAGTTTTAAAACCCAACCAGAAGACAAAGATAGAGCACTTGTATAAGGCTGAAAGCCCCTGAAGAGAACGTTTAAACATCTTCATTCCTCAACTGAGCCATGAGAGACAGAACATCTGCTTCCAAAGCAGTGCAACATAAAGAGACAGGCTGATGTAATGAGGATTATCACAGTGGCATATCACACTTGAGCATTCTGATACTTTGCTCTCACATATTTCATCCAGATAAACATGACAGTGATGGTCCATTTTCCAAGTTGCAGTTGGAAGATTTCTAAAATCCACACAATAGGGATTTCTCTGCCAGCCTTCCAGATTTAGACTAATGCAGGAAGGCTAGAATTGCACAGCAGGAAAAGCCAAAGCAGTAGGCTGGGAATTCTTACATGGTGCATTTTACAGTAATCCCTGAATAACAGCACTTACACGTTCCATATAGTATTTTAAATCTATTAGAGTTAAGTGATATATCTAGATCACTACTAAAAATACCATGCTAGGCTGCAAGTGCCTAACTACTACAGAAAACAGCAAAACTTCGAAATGAAAGAGTGGCATCTAAAAACTTGAGATTCTTTTCTTGCATAAAGTAATACAACTCCATTTAAACAATGAATTCACACCAACTCATATTGCTTTTAGGATTTGACACTGAATCACACGGATTTACTCATCTTCCTACCATAGTACTGATTAAAGTATGAGCACACACCTTTTCCCTTGTCCTTCTCAAATTAAAATGCATAAAGAAAAATACTTACGACAAGTCACTGAAGTCTGGAAAGACATACATGTGCCTAAAGCTATCAATGGCAATGACAGGACAGTCTGCTGGAGTCTTCTGAATGTGCAGGAGGGGGTGCCTGAATTTGTCACAGTCAGCATGGAGGAAGTTTATTGTACCTTAAAATCGTGAGCAGACAAAAATCCATATTAAAACTTTTTTATTATTATCTTGAAACTTTAACCACTTTCATAACTATTATAAAGGTGGAAATATTAGATCCACATGCAAAACTTGAAAATAGATCTAAATTTTTAACTAACTCAACCAAAATAACAGATTTTCTTAAAGTGGGGTTTTTTTCCATATTACCAACTGAAGATTTGTTTAATGCCCTCTCAAAATGCATTAAGTCATTTAGACAAGAAGGATTTCTAAAACAGTTACTTATTAATAAATTGTGTATCTATTTTAATAATTTCCAAAGGAGTGAGTCCTCACTGTCAGAAGTGCATAAAGCCCTTTGGTCTCAAGAGTTTTAAAGCTAGGATTCTGTTTGGCCTTTGCTTCTGCTCTACTGAGTTGCCTGGAAAAAAATTATATCAGTAAAACCAAGAAGTAGTAGGAGTTACTACAAACCTTTTTCACCTATTAACTGTCGTGCAACCTCCTGTTGGAATTTCTCTAAACTCTCCAAGTCATCTTTCATATGGAAAAGTATGAGAAAAGGAAGGCCTTCTTCTGTCAGTTCCTGCAGAGAAAACAAAGGACAAATCACATTTCTTCCTTTCCTTAAGGGCACTTAAGTGATTCCAGGAATTTTCAAATTCAGTGAGATCTCTACTTTAAAAAACAGACGAAAGAAAAAGACTAAAGACTAGCTGCTAACCCTTCCTCTAAGATACCTGAGTGATACAGTTAACCAATGTTTCCTTCCTCTTATCATATACAGCAAATAAAGGATGACAGTATTTCATTATCAGCATTTCAGGAAGGGATACACTTGCACTGGAATACTTGCACGAAAGAAATAACCCAATCCTGAGAAAACACAACATCTTCATAGAAACAACAGTAAGGCCTGAGTATCAAATGGTATGAAAGGCTGAGGGTGTATTCTAGACCCAGTCCTAGCTTGTTCACATAGTAAGGTGGTGCTTTCTTAGCATAACACAATGAACAAGTATCTTTAAATAACCCTATCTCCTCCCCAGAGTAAAGAAAAAATCAGAAACTAATGATACAGCCATATCAGTTATCAAATACTGCTCTTCTGCCAGTGAGTGTGTCCTAACTGGTCATCTGTGTAACACTATTGCTAAGTTCACAGGCTAATATATTACTAAAATTGATTAAAAATGCAAATCTTTGATGGACAGGCAAACTTTAATTCCTCATAGGAATGCGTCCTTGCAGCCCAAGTGCCTTTAAAAAAATTTCTGTGCCCAGGGACACATAAATACAGGAATTCATTGAATAATTTATTCTGAATTTTTCTTTTACTTAAATCCAAAACACAAACAATATGCACTTGCTTGCTTCAAAAGTGATTTTTAGGCACTTATGAACATCAGCTCAACTCACTATAGGCTGATTGAAAAAAAGCATCATTTATCATCTAAGAAATGCCTAGAGTTGTCTTTCATTTGCACAACTGGTGTAACAAGCAAGTGCTGCTAATGCTTTGATTCAAGCCTGTACCAGCATAAAAATTGTGCTTTTTGAGAAAGACAGCACTGGTTCATTCTGCCACCAAATAGAAAAATTTCTTCGGATATTTTTGATTTGTGGTAAGTTGGAAGAAACACTTTCCCTGTCAGCAGGCAGCCAGTTACACAGTGTACATGAAATGGCTGTCCTTCTCCCTTCAACCAAATCCATCAGGTAAGTTGAAGCCTGGTCTTTTAACAGCAGATCCTCATAACTTCAGTGCTCTTGAAACCCAAGCTTCCCAACTCATCTATAAACCAACAACTAATCCTATTTGCTCATTCTCATTTTTACATGCACAAATGCAGCTGAGTCTCAGCATACTCTCCTATTACAGGATGCTAAAAATCTGTTTTGTACCACTGCAGTTATGGCTCTGTTTCCCCACTCATTTCACCAGGTACATTTCCAGAGGGAGAACTAAACAGAGCTTGGTGTTCTGGCTCTAAAGTCCCCTCTTGCTTGCAAGCAGCTAAGAGGACAACCTCAGCAAGTTACATTAACAAGATCTATTCATCTCCAAAACAAGTTGTTAGGACAGCTGGCTTGAATGCCTTGCTAATCTTGGCCCTAACTGGTTTCTATACAGTATCTTCCTTTGCTTTTCTATTCCAGCTTTCATAGCATGCCTCATTGATGAGGACACAGCAAGTAAAATAGCTATTTCATTTGCTTAGACTGCTCCCTCAAAAGCTGTTTCATTTGGCCCTGAGAATATCAAAAGATTTTTCATTAGATCTGAGCTTCTCATGTTACTTCTGTATGCCTTTGAGAAACTTTTAACCCTACCAAAAACTTAAAGTTTAGCAGCATCATTAGACCACATAGGTTCATTGTATTCATGGAATCATAGAATGGTTTGCACTGGAAGGGAACCTTGAAGATCATCTAGTTCTAACCCCATTGCCATGGGCAGAGACACTTTCAACTAGAGCAAGCTGCTCAGAGCTCCTTCCAGCATGGGATGGGGCATCCACAACTTCCCTGGGCAACCTCTCATCCACCAGCACCCTCAAGTCCTTCTTGGCAGGGCTGCTCTCGATTCGTTTAACACAGAACTAAACAGCCAGATTACAGGTCAAACAGTGATTTCTTCTGAACGAAATCACTGATTCCAGCAGCCTATTCCTGTCAGGTACAGGAACTGTCTCAAATGGACAGTCTCCTCAAGCAGAAGACCTTGCTTCAGAGTTCTATTACTATGTGTTGTCTAAAGTCACAATGATGAACTCTGTTCAGATTGGGCATCTTCCTGCCCACAATGTTTACCAGATAATGAAAGCACTAAGAAAATGAGGGAAAAACCTAACAGCAGTTTACAGAGACCAATTCTGATTTTAAAAATTAATTTAAAGTCTGTGGAAGAATTTTTTGTCTTTATCTTACTTATATGGTATTCTAGTACCATAACACAGCTTAACAGTCACAGCACTTCATATTTTTACCCTGTACTGCTGTGCAGTATGCACAATAAGTAAGAGCCCATTTAAGTAACTGTACAATCTAAGCAAGCAGAAATATCTCAGTTTTGGCATGTTTAAATTTGTTTGGCTACTGGCAGCACTGAATTTTTTAAACAAATGTTGCTAGGCAAAATGTCACATTGGAATTGTTTCTATCTACCTAAGCAAGTAGGAATCAAGAGTTAAGAGAACAAACAGAAAAAACACAACATACTGTGGTACAAAGCTGACAGTGATGAACCTTTGGCTTCTAAGGCTCAGAATCCTCTTTCACCATGGGAAAAGTACTCTGAAAATCTACCACACACTGCTAGAGATGTTAACATGTGCCATTCTTTTACATATTGAGTTGCAAATGAAGAATTAAGATTTGTTAAGTATCAGAACTTTCCAATAAAAGTTGGCAGGATTGACTAGAAGAAAGTCAACCAAAATGGTTTAAGTAATAAAATCACCCTGACCCTTGCTCTGCCATGAAACCTGAAGCATTCTATGAGCCCAGAACAGCAGTGTTAGACGCACTGCAGATCCAGGATCAAAAGAATTAAGTGTGCAAACTGAGAATGAATCATATGACTGATTCTTTGGTTTCTCATCCAGTGTGGACAACATACTGCAATTTGTTACAAACCTCAGCAGAGTTTCTAGCAGATGCTGTGGCAGCGTCAAAATACTCCTTTTGAGATACTACAAACTTGATAATTTTATAAAGATGTTTTTTCCTGTTGTTTATTTTACAAGAAAAATCATAATACAGAGTTGGAAAAAGACTAAAGAAGACTAAGTTACAAAAGAAAACAAAAAATCATTGAAAAACAATAATGGTAATGAGAAGAAATGAGATGTTTAAAAGCAAATTGCCAAGTTCCACCTGATGAATTACAGCCAAATAAAGAAAAGCAAGTGAAACAGCACATGCAGCTAAAAAAAATTAAGATTGTACCAGTGCTTAAATGCAGACTGAAAGAAAAAACAATAAAAATCACAGTTTTTATTACCATTCCCAGAAAATTGCAATTCCACGGTCAGCCACAATTTCATGTGTTTATTAGATGATGCTTTGGAAGTGACTAAAGCGATTAATACAGTAATATTTTTCTACATTAACATTAAACTTTAAAAGACAGTTATAACTAAAGGATAGTTCACAAGTGTTTTATTCTTTCAAATTGTTGACATCCTGACACAGGCGTTTTCTACTCTGACTAGAAGCATTTTTTCCAAGGTCTGGATCTTAAATATATCGTTTAGTCATGACATCCACATAATAATATATACTTACTTTAGATGAATAACACAACCTACCCAAGGTGTTACACATCCACACATACTTATAGACACACATATTCTGAGCCTTTAATTGTCCACATTCCGCAAAATCACCAGACACTTCTTATTGGACCTACATGCATCAAAGCTGGTCCTGCACTTCAGTCACAACAACCTCATGCAATGCTATCAGGCTAGGGAAAGAGTGGCTGAAAAGCTGCCTGGTGGGAGAGGACCTGGGGGATCAGCAGGACCAGGGCAGTGATCACCCCCTTCTACTCAGCACTAGTGAAGCCACACCTCAAATCCTGTGTTCAGTTTTGGGCCCCTCATGGCAAGAAAGACATTGAGGTGCTGGAATGTGTCCAGAGAAGGGCAACGGAGCTGGTGGAGGGTCTGAAGCACAAGTCTGATGAGGAGCAGCTGAGGGAGCTGAGGGTTTAGCCTGGAGAAGAGGAGGTTCAGGGAGACACTTACTGCTCTCTACAGCTCCCTGAAAGGAGGTTGTAATGAGGTGGGTTTCGGTCTCTTTTCCCAGGTAACAAGAAATGGGACACAAGGAAATGGCCTCAAGTTGTACCAGGGAAGGTTTAGACTGGATATTGGGAAAAATTTCTTTACTGAAAGGGTGATCAGGTATTGGAACAGGCTGACCAAGGAAGTGGTAGAATCACCATCCCTGGAAGTGTTAAAAAAACCCACATGGATGTGACACTTGGGGACATGGTTTAGTGGTGAACACAGCAGTGCTGGGTTAACAGTTGGACTCGATGATCTCAGAGGTCTTTTCCAGCCTTAGCTATTCTACAATTACAGCCTCTTACTTTGGTAGCGTATGCAACTACAACAAATCTGCCTCCAGTGAATTTCAAGTCTAAACAAAAAGCTCCAAAAGAATGAAAAACATTATCTGACAGCTATTTTCTGCCTAAAAAAAACCTATACAAACTTCTTTGAAGTGAATTAGGGACCTTGAAAGAGACATTTCGGTTTTGAGAAAAACTCCAAAACTAGAATTGTAGAAAAAATTCTTACCTCCCCATTTTCAAATGTAATTTCTCTAACTAGTGGTACACATTTATCTTGTGTCCATGCATAAACCAAATCAAAATTGGTTAGCGAGCCTAAATACACCATATCTGGAGCATTTTCCTGTTGAAAAGAAAAATACAGTAGGTGACAAACAATAAAAGTGACATTGCTACCTACAGAGATTAACTACTCAATGTAAAATAACAATATTCATATAAATATTGAAAGCAAATCTTATACCAGTTATACCCTTGTGCATGCAAGATTTTGATTAACTATTTGATAAAAGTACAAACGGAAAATGAATATTAGATATGATAATTTATGCACTCAATGACACTTTTTAAGACAAGTCATAAAGAGTTGAAAAGATACTTTGTTTCCCAACTGGAGATGCTTCAAATAAAGGCTATTTAGACTTCTGCTAGGTTGAGAAATAGTATCTCCAGATGTAAAACTCCCATTTAGATATAAACTAAACGCAGACAGCAAGCTGCTTCATGCTGATAGTTACAAAGACTCACCAAAACCCCCTCCTAATGTCCTAGAAGGACTTAAAATTGGTATTTTACATTTGCTTTTCCAAAGAGATATGAATAAATAAGTTTTCCTTTATTTGCTAGTAGTTTTAACTTATAATTCAGTGCTGACATCCTTTAATTTAATTACAATTTTGGTTAATATGAAGTGAAGCATGACTTTGCAAGCTGTGGCCATGATTAAACACACCTTAATTCAGAAATGCCATATAAATTAGTTAACCTAATAAATTCTGTTGTTGAAAAAAGAAAAAAAGAAGGTTTGAAACTCCCTTCCTCCTGAGGTCTTTTTTCATCTATTTTCTCTTTTGTAAGCAGCTCTTTTCCTACAGTAAATTTGCAAAAGGAGCAGATTTTTAGACAGTATGTCTCTAAAAAGCAGCTCTTACAGGTTTTCTTCTGTACTGAATTTTTCTTCAAGTGAAACTATATTTATGAGAGTTTGTTAACACGCAGTACTTTTTTTTTTTTTTTTTTAAGTTAGGAGAAGAGCTCTTAACCCTTGTGGACTAAGGTACACACAAGACAGGCAAGTGACAGTCAGAAAAATATGTAGTAATTGTTACATGCTTTGAACAACAGGAAGTGCACCAGCTTCATACCTTTTTAAGAGTTCTACAGAACACACAATATCGACACACATAATGCGTTGACTGTCTTTCTCAGAAAAAAAAATTAATTCTGGACATTGACATTTCGAGTGACAGATTTAGGTTTTGTGCATTAACTGGCAACACATGAGATGGAGATCTCTTTCACTGACTCAGAAACACTAGTTTCTATGATCCTATTTCTCACACTATTTAGTGACGAAATAAAACCAAGATTTGAGATGCAGTAACATACTGAATGATACAAACAGTCTCCACTTGTTCATATTCACATATAACGACAATAATCAGAATAAAATACATAGTTACACTTACCCCTGGTGGCTTGTAGATTATATTGTCTCCGCTAAATCTCTCTGCTTTTGAAATAGCCCTACAACAAACCAACCAGTAAGCATGTCTTGGTAGACACAAATAAAATAACTGAGATACCAAAAATCATATTTTAATTTGCTATCCTTGCTTTACTTCTTTCTTTTTTTTTCCCCCTTCACAACTTGAAAATTAAAATCCTTCATTTTTAAAGCAAACTGTACAGTGACTCCACAGAAACTTGACCTGGCTAGATAAGAGGGTATTAACGGAGTCAGCAAGACGTACCCCTAAGATCAGAAGTGTGGACTAAAGGCATTGAAGTGCAAGTGATGAATGCCAGTACAGTTTTGGATAAGAGATTGTCAGGGAAATTAAAGAAGTGAATTAAAAAAAAAATCTTAAGGAAGGAGAGGAGAGAAAGGTGGATTCTTGTTTGCATTTACTCTTCCTGTTCCACTGTTTACACTACAAATTTACATCTTATCTACCCTGATAAAGAAGGGCTTTGAGGTGTTCCATCAGCACAAGCAGTGGGAAAATGGATGGCAAGTAAGCCCACACTGTCTGTGTTACCCTCAAAACAGATCTAGAGAGAAGACACAGCATGCAGTTCATGGCCACTGATGATATAGTATGTGTGTACCCAGAAGACATGCAGTTCCTCCTTGGTATTCAGCTTACTATGTCACCTTAGTAAGTTCCTCTCTTGCCTCCAGAATATTTTGTGGTTCCTTAATCCCAGTCACAGCAGAGCACCCTGAAAGCTGCTAGCTTGCACCCGAAAATTGCCATCTCTTATTCAAGCAAGCTGGGACAGCTATGATTCCAACGGAGGAGACAGAAAAATAAAAGAAAGCTCTCAATAAAAACAAACCCTTAAACAATCTTCAGATATATAAAGAGGCCTCCTCACTCCTTCTCTCCCATGCCTAGCTGTTCCAACGTAAATTGGGCTGGCAAGACAGAACTGACTAGATGCATATGCCACAAAAGAGTAAAAGTGCCCATTTCTTTTCCCTTTCACACAAGCTAAAAAGAAAGAATGCCAGCCTTTGGGAAACATTAGGTAACTGTTCCCCCTTCTCTCTCCTCTAGGTGTAATATAAACATTGGTGAAGACTGATTAAGAAATGTAAGAGGGAAATAAAAAAGAGAAGTCAAAATATCTCAATTTATCTCACTGCAAGATTAGCTAAATCTTCCAGGGGTCTGAACAACTTAGAGTGCCAAGAAAAAGACGGACAACATAAGCCTTAACCCAAAGTACCTAAACTTTATTTCCTTCATTTGATCTGATTATCCTTTTCTTATCACATAGAAAGGATGCCTTGCATAGTATATTACACCTATCAGTATTTGCATCAGTTTACAGATGAGTATTTTGAAATGTATTTTTATATTCCAGACAGGACTCCTCACATAATGTGAAATTAGGCTTCCTAGTGACCACCATCACTGACAAAAACCACTCGCCTATCAAATCAGCCTTCACTGAATAAGAAGAAAGTGAAGACGTAGAAGCCACCTGCCCAATCACTGTTTGATAAGATGATGATAATCTATCATGAAATATATGCTCTGGGGTAACCCTGTGGTAGAAGCCAAAATGTCCTCTTCTGCTCTTCCACTTCAGTAGCTGCAGTTGTGACTGATTTTTTTTTCAGATAACTGAAATAAAGTATGGACATGATGTGAAAATCCCAAATGCCTGAAGATACACCTCTTTAAAACAACTACTAAAACGGAAACACTTCAGTTTGCATTTCATCTCTTCTTGAAGCAGTAATGTGAAAGGGAACCTCTTGGAACCACACAATCCCCCCGCCCTCCACTGCCATATTTACTTGCTAACAAAAAATTAAAACAGTTCCTAGATTCATCACTGTCTTCCATAAACTACTTACAGATCATCACAGCCTTTTAGGATAAAAGTATATTTTGGGTGGTTTTTGTTTTGTTGTGGGTTTTTTTGTGTGGTTTGTTTGTTTGTTTGTTTTTTGTTTTGACATTCTCTTCCGCTTTCATGAATGTTTCAGATTCATTCCTCTCTAGTTCTACTTCTAAAATCTGCCTCCAATAATGTCTTCATCACATTCTTCACCTATCTCCTTCTGCCTACAACTCTTCTTTCACTAATCTTGTTCTATTGCCACCTCAGATCTGTACAGAACTGTAAGGATCTGTTCATTAAAGAAATCTTTTAAGCATTGAGATGATCTACAACTAAGTACCATTAATACAGTTTAAAAATAAGCTATTACAAGTACCTAAAGCCAGAGTAATTTTGGCATAAGGGGACTGTTCAGTAAAGTAATTATTTTTTTTCCTGTCAAATTGATTGTTTTATTTCAGCTTACTAGAAATTTGAACATGACTGCTCACATTACCTACCATATACCTCCCAAGCCACATAGCTGTTGAACTCTGTTCATAGCAACCCCAAAAATACCTCCCAGGGTCTGTCAGGATGCTCAGTCAGAAGAGTCTGACCGATCAGTGCCAGCTCTCTGTGAAGCATTTTGCTATATATAATCCGAAAAGAAAACACTGATATGTGGCCAGTATCTCCCTCAGAAGTCTTTTCACATATAGTGGTTTTTTTAGGAACCTTAAGAGCCACAGCCACTCACAGGTGAAAACATTTAGTTCCCAAGGTTGCTGCTGGGAAGGCTGCACTTTAAAACACTAACAGCTCCAGGCTAGAAAGGGAATGGGAGTCTGGAGATAAGAATAATGACAAGCCTGCTGTGCAATCTAGTTATATAGGCAGGTTAAAAATAATCAAACTCTGATCCATTCCATTATGTCTGACTATTGCTTATATCTGAACAAAAAAATATAAAATAAAACTCCCATAGTAACCACTTGAAGAACAGTGCCCAACAACCAAATGCTAACACTGAGTGGTGGGAAACTATTTCTTATTACATGAAGTTGACAGATAGCAAACCAAAGATGAACAGACTCAAACAACAGGAGAGAGAATCTTCAAAGTATTGCTATCTTACTAATTATTTTTAAAAAGGTATTTCTGAAAAGACCAAAAAGCTATATGAGGGGGCAAAAAATAACTTAAAATTCTAGTAACAACTCAGACTGCCTGTCCTGAGAGCAAGCCTGCATGCACTCATCAGAAAATGCTTGAGATAATGGACACTCTTTGGGGATAAGACTGACAGACCTACAGACCACAGGTTTGCCTGCTTACCCAGCCATACCATTACCTAACTGGGAACTGAAAGCCCTGTGTACTCCCACACACTGCAAATACTCTCCCCCACCCCAAACTATTTTTGGAGACATATTAGAAGAGGCATCAGTGACTGGCAACAGATTTTGTTCAAGCAGATGAAACCTCTTCTACTTCAATACATCCTCTCAGTTTCTCTGCTATTCTCCACTACATCCAGTTCAAAAAACTTGAGGTAATTTTATACATTATAAAAGCTAGCTTAACCCATGCAAATTCCTGATCTTGCAACTGTGGGTAAACTGGAAAACACTGCATTCCCATTAATGCCCAATCACTTCAAATTGGTAATTGGTGGTGGCATATTAAGCATTGCTGAAAGAATCTATAATTCCATTTCATTATGCTAGTTATAAAGGGAATCACTCACTCCCAATTTGTTCTTCTTCTTCCAGTGTATGGCTTAATATTTTAAAATATCACTGTAAATCTGTATAACAAGGAGAAAGTTGAATTTCTGTACGTTTTTCTTCTAGACTTACACTCCATAGCTCACCAATGCAATTGCCTTTCTAAATTGTTGCATTGACCAGTGACATAGAACTAAGACCCAGGCACAGAAATTAGGCATTTTGGAACAGGGCCTGCTTCTGAAGCATCAAGAAGAAATGAGCAAGCAACGACATGCTTTACAGGAAAAAAGCCCTATAAAATAGAGGAAAAAGACCCCTTCAAAAAACGGTCCTATTTCAAAGAAAAAAAAAAATCTAAAAGGTTGCAAAAAAGAGTTACTCAGTCTGCAAAGCTAATGAATTTTTTTTCAAAACATTTTCAAGCTCTTCCGTACTTGTTGTTCTCTCTCTCTAAAAAAGCAGATTTTTTGGACACAACTGTCTTTTACCCCCTGAAACCTCCCCAGTTACACTTAAACCATACTGACAAAGAGTGGAAAAAAAAAAGAAAAAGGAAGGGAAAAAATAAGAGTTGAATTTCACAGCAAACATTAAGGTTAGGAAGAGTTTTCTCCTTCTATCCTCTCAGTGTATTTATCTATTAAGGTCTACTCTCGTCAGTTATGAAACGCTGAAAGTATTAAAGAAGTCCATTCAATTAAATTTATATACAACTCATAAACAGAATTTCAATAAGGAAGTCATGCAATCAACAAGTTTTCACACTTACCCAAAGGCAGATAGGAACACACAATCATCATGCAAAATATTTGCTACTCTTTCAAAGGTTCTGTAATTGTCTGAGTCCTTTTGCTCAAAGTATCCAACAATATTCCTTCTGCTGCGCTGTAAAGACAAAGGTTGAATTATAATTTGCACCAAACTATCAAAAACTATCATTACTCCCTATGGATATTAAATACAGAGATGCCATTCATTTGACAGTCATTAAATGCAGAAATTATGTCTTTTCTGGCTTTTCATTATTCAGAAGCATCCTTGTAAGTATTTTTTCAGTGAGAAATATTTTTTAAGTATCTTGTCAAATGCAACATATTATTCTTTTCAAATTACTAAAAGCAAAATAAGTAATTTGGCTGTGGAGTGAAGGTGCCTGAAAGTTAAAAATTATTTCAATATAGTAATACTGCAAATAATTCAGTTTTCCACTCAGTTAAAAAAAAAATAACGTACTGAACATTTCTGAATGAAAAAAAAAAAGTAAATATCTTCTTTAAATACATGATGTTCCACCAATTCAACATTACAAAAAAATAAATAGAAGGAGTAAAATTGAAACACTTACATCAAGAGAACTAATTTCTTCCAAATCCTGGACCTCCCGAATGGGGTTACTCTTCTGCTGCCTGATGTAATCTGCTATTGCTGTCACAGATCTCTGGCCCCTGTATTCCCTCTTCATCATCATGCCATTCCGGAAGAGTTTCAGAGTTGGGTATTTGCTTATCCTGTACCTCTGAGCTATATCAGCTAAAAAGAAATTAAGAAAATAAAACCAAAGCCCTACAAATACAGAAATACACTGAGCATGCTGTCTTATGCACGCATATGTCTGCATCTCTGAACCAGTAGTTCCACATCTTTAAACAAGAACAGAACACCATTGAAAAGAAAGCCCAAATCAAGAAACAAGCACTACCACTGGGTAGAGAACAGATGGTAGCCACAGTATTTCTCACATGTACTGATCTTCACAAAGAAAAAAATTACCAAAATTGGGATAAGTAAAGAATAGACTTGGGCATACTCATTCAGTGCACTTCCTACGAACAACTAGGAAAACCAATTTAAGAGCATACCAAGAACATCATAATCTTAAAAAGCTTGCCACATATCTCAGTTATTTAACTCACTTGAGAAACTTTTAATAAAATAAATCATCCCCTATTTTTCTTCAAACTCATTATGATTTTCATCTCAATTGCAGTGCTGGAAAAAAAATTGTAGGCTTCAAGAAATACTTTGCACAGGGTTCACATTCTCTAAAATTTTAGATATGACAAAGGCCAGAAGACTGCTGTTACAGTTCTGAGCTGTTCAAGTTTTGAACAAACAGAAAATTTCAGGTTTCTAAATTAAGGCAAACACCTCTCTGGTCAACCAGTGTCAGCATTCCCTTCAAGACAGATCTTCATTCAACTCTATACACAGAGCCCAACTTTCTTCTGGACTTGAAGCTTCACACAACAAAGTAATGTGTATTTGCATTCCTCTAGCATAAAAGCACCAGTTCTTTTCCCCTATGTAGAACATGTCAGTTATTTAAATTATTTATTCACAAGACTTACAAATGTAAAAGAATAAAAAACAGAAAGAGGTTTTACAGGAAAATTAGAAGAGCGGCAAAGAAGAACAGTGAGCAGAAGCAACAAAGCCCAGTTTCCCACACACGTGTGTCCTGTGCCCCTCATCTTCAACTGCCACAACAACATGGTTCTTGACCACACCCCACCAGAGCACAAAGGCCACATTTGTCCGTCTTCCACTTTGATAAATCACTGGGACACAGCAAACTGCAATAGGTGCTGCAGCTAGCTCCCAGCTGGGCATTGACAGGGAAGCCTACACATAACCAGCAAGTGGTTCATGGCACATCGAGCAGGATCCAGCAGCCTTGAGTTTTTACAGCAACCTTTGCTACAGTGCAGAAGTTGGTTTTGTGCATCTCCAGTATCCAACAACTGCTTTAATCGAACTTTGTAAGTACTCAGTAACTTAGAATGCTCTTCCCTCTTTCAGACGTGGCTGAAGTTCAGCAAAAAGCTTGAAGTTTTTACAACGAAGAACTGAAGAAACAAGGTAACCAGATACACATTGGGTTCTCAGGAAAACAAGACTGAAAACAAACAGTAAAGACAAAGCCTGTAAAGCCAGGTAGATTTCCTAAAGGACTTTCCCATTGCTTTTGCTTTGTTGTCCCTTGTAAATAAACCTAGAAATAAATAAAATCTCACAGTCCCTGTGAAAACCACGTCCTCTATTACAGACTGGGATGCATTTTACCTAAACCTCTGTTCCTAAACCCAACTAAATCCCCAAATATGAGCAGTCTGTCCACTTTTCTGAGCTGCTTAATCCTTAGAGGTGACTCATTCCAGTCAGCCACAGTGACCACACTCCCCTTCTCCCTTTCTCTCTCAAGAAAGGAGAGAGATGGTGAACTTCAACAGGCCAGTTTATTCTGCAGAGACAAAGAAATTTCATGCAGTCAACAGAGAGGAAGGCAATGAAAACGTGGGCTGAATGCACGTTCTCTTACTCTTCACAGACTCCTTTAGAAGTCACAGGATACACTTCAGGTGACTTGGATTAGCCCACAGCAGGAAAGCAACCAAATGAGGGACCATCAGCATATGTGGCACAGTACTAAATTATGTGAAAACTAATCCTTTCTGACCCTCCTTCTCAGTTACATATTTATCACAAGCAGATTTGCTTTCTATCTTAATCTTACTCTTTTTTTAAAGAGAACAGAGACAGAAGTCTGAATTCCCTCCTAACCTGGAGAACTCTCAGTGAAACCATCAGCAGCTGCAATTGCTGCTAGAAAACTACTTATCCTACTTGCAGCTTTAGTTACTGAAAACAATCTTTGTACCAGTTGCACAACTTAGACAAATCTGAGAACTGAAAACAAATTGTGCACAGCTAAGGAGTAAGTGTTCTTTAACATCCCACAAAACAGTAAACTTAAAAGCTTCACCACCTAAAAAGCTAAAGAAAGTTTTGCATCACTATAAAATAACACAGAATTCAGCCTATCAATTTTGACTAAGAGAAAGGCCTTGACCTCTTTCCTAAATATCCCAGAAGTGCATTTCTGAATGCACTAATTACAGTTAAAATTAAGGGTAAAATATTTTATGTCCTCAATTTAGAGTACTTTTATTTCAAATTAATACAAATGTCTCGTGGGAAGATGCCAATATATTCAGCATTAATGAGTATTAGATCAATAATCTTTTCTTCCTTTAGATTCCACTACTTTTTATGTAAAGTATCTCAGAGCCGCCTGCAAGAAGCTGACAAATATAGCTGGGGAGGAATCACTCCATATTTGCTTGGTGGAAGACAAACATCATCTGCAAAGCAGGCATTTGCTGCCCTTTTCTGCTGATAGAAGGACCTTTGGTCTGACAGTACATCAGTCGATCAAAACTTGATCAGGGTCTGATAAGGGACAAGGGTTTCGCAGGAACACATTGAGATTACAGACCAGTACCGTTACACTTCTGCACAGCAAGAGAGCACCAAAAATGACGCTTTTCTGTTTCACAACATGGACTTTTGCTTCAGGTTATTTCCACAGTTATAGGAGGATTGCAAGGGTTGCAGAATGGGCATTCAGGGGATCATGAACGTTCTCCAAGATGCAGATTGCAGCCCCTAGGGATGTGGATCTTCATCAAGGGATGAAGTTGCGTAAAAAACGTAATGGTAATAAAATGCCCACTGTCAAAACTGAATTCAAACATTATTTCATAAGTCAGAACTTGCGTGATCTTTACAAATTACATTGAGATTCCATGAATGCTGGTATTTGAACTAACACAGAGAAATGACACTCCTACACAAGTAAGTATTTGAAAACCATCTTTTTACAAAATATAAAATGCAAGTACACGAAAAATTGTTTGAATTAATTCAAAAGTCAAATAGAGTAAACCTTAAATGCTTCATTAAGCTCTGGCATTTGATACAGGTAGAGTTAGCATAAGCAGAGCAACTACAAAATTATATTCCTTTTAAAATTGGAAATACATAATGCAAATACATGGAATATTGTTTGAACTCATTCACAGATTGCATTAGTTATAGTAAATCCTAAATTAAATTTAAAAATATTTCCAGACATTCCCACTGCCCATTTTTTCATGAGAAGAGAGATTTGAAACAGATAAGGGCAAACTCCCTAAAAACAAAAAAACCCCTCTCCCAGCTACGACTTTATGACTTTTTTTTTCCTTCAGGTGCTAAGGTACCTAAAAGGAGTAAATCTTGTGTTTGTACTTTGCTGAATTAATCATTGAATCACAAGTCTAGTGCCTGTGCTACCAGAATGGTTTCCCATTAGTTATGATAGGAAGCTACTGACATGCTTGATCATTTTTTCTTCTACAAATCAGAAATTTCAAGCACAGCAATGACTGTTGTATTCAGATGATTCTCTCCTCCCCATTTTGCATGTGTAACTGCTGACACGCAATAATTTCTACACCACCCAGGCTTTTTTTCCACTATTTATTCTAGCACACTCCAACAGCAATGTCTTACAGTTGCTCATCTCTCTTCACAGATGCACTGTTTTGATACTTCTCCTGAGCAAAGCTGATTCTTACAACAGGTAAGAGACAGCAGCTTTTATTGTTCTTTTGAAAGAAACTTTTACACGAAACCTGACATTTTCACTCATGTTTTCTAAGACAATCTTGCACATATCTGAGCAAGACCCTCTAAGAAAACATACTTTCTGAACTATCATTTGTGATCCATATCTTTAACATGTCTCTTGTACTGTTCAGCCATTTCTCCATTGTCTGAGCATTGTGTGTTCCTCTACTCAAAGGAATGCCAAACCCCATTTTTTGGGGACTGTCAGGCTTTGCACATGGTGTGTACACACATCACCCAAGCTACAGCTTTAAGCAAGCACACAGCCAGTGACTTGTTTCCCAGAATGCTTCAGACTCCATTGTTCTAAGTTAACACCACAACACGCTGTCCAAAGTTCAGCTAGTATATCAGACTACATCTATATCTCAATTCCATTGCCACCCAACAGTGAAGAATATGTTGAAGAACTACACCAAGACACACTATATTGAAGAAGGCTCTCATCCACAATGCACCTAAGAAGTCCATTGAAGGACTGGAAATATTTACAAAGTGTCAGGGTATCACCCCACCATTAACTCAGTACACTGTTTTAACCTTTCGGGGTCATAATTCATACCACTACCAAACAGATATTTAGATTTTAAGTCTACAGGGTTGGCTCCCAAAAAACACATCCACTAAGATTTGAACAATACCAATAATTATCCTAAATGCCCACCTCATAATGTAAGGCACCACCTGAAGAATTCACATGTTAAACAGAGGACTACAACAGCCTGAAAAGTTATCTGGAAGAAAATCAAAGTTTCAAAACTCAAACCCTGTAAAAATAACTTTTGAAAATATTTGGTGTCTCTTTTTCTAAGGGGGAGGTGGAGGTGTGGGGAGGTGTCTTCATGTTGTTTGAGGAAGAGCCAGCACAAACCCAAGCTACTGCATTTCCTGACTTTGGTTATACGTGCTGGTTATAGGAGTTGCATAGCTGCATATACGGAGAGCTTGAATTTACTGGATCTAACACTATTCTTTTTGTGTGTGTCAAATCATCTTAAGTGTTCCTCACCCTTCTGCAATACCTTCCATCTCAAAACTAACAAATTCCTTCAGCTGTATATTTGAAGCTGGGACTATCAAATGAGTATTCTAGTTGCTCACTTGAGATCAATCAACATCTTTTGAAGTCCCTCAAGGTACCTGCCAGGACACACTACAGATGAGAAATGAAATCTTTGATAGGTACTTTTTTACTTATTATTCCACAACCATTTTTCTCTCAAGTTCACTTAAAAGGCCTTATACACTACATTCACCTTATTTTTAAGCATTCCATAATATAACATTAATTATCTCCAGTTAAACTACTCCTCTCATGACACTTGCACGGAAGTCATAAGACCTGAGAATAAGCACAAGAAGCAGAATTAGAAAAGAACTTGGGAAACCATCTAAACTAGGCATCCTACTCCAATGACTGTGATACTGGTGACCTGTATCACTTGTTACGATGGACCAAAACAGGTACAAGAAAAACAATCAATGCTGTATATCAAACTCAGGTAACAGCAGATCTAGACCACCTTCTGCTGCAAAGGAGCATTCACAACAGCCATGCCTGCTCTTAGCAGGGCCTCATCAGTAGGCATCCCATAACCTTTTCTGACAGGCTAAAAAAATGGCCCTCCTGAGGAGTGCCATCAACAACCACTCCAAATCACTTCCACTTTTTATTTTATCCAAAGATAACTCTTTCAGAATGACTTTTTTTTCCCAAGCAAAGTGACAGGAACACAATGAAATCCTCGGCTTGTTTAGAGTTTCATTTATAGTTCATTTATGAACTTCCAAATTTGTTATCCTACTGAGTTATTTTGCTTACCAAAGGCACAGTACCAATACAATCTAATCTGTGAAGACTAACATTAGCACACACTGCAGGGACAGCTAGACCCAGAGAGATCAGCAGCTCACAGCAGTGGATGAAAATACCACTCATGGACACATTCTGAATGGAAGAACAATAGTTCCCTAAACAGTCTGTCTAGCAAAGCACCTCTTTACATCCGGTCGGTGAGAACTTGTTTTCTGTTTGGAGGCACAAAGATTTATTCAAACTAGCTATTATTTTTTATTTAACTCAGAAACCAAAGGAAATAATGCTACTACAGAATTAAACAGCATATATATATATATATATATACACACTTTAATTTACAAGAATTCTGTACCACAGCTCCTAATGTGAATTCAGAGGAACTGTTCAAAATATCAACTCTCCTCTAGAAACATGAGCTCTATATTGCAACATTCACTCACCAAGAACAGAAATGAGTGAGTTTCCAACATCACTGCTTAACACAAAGGATAAAAAATCCCACAAGCGAGGAAAAAAATACAAAACCCACCAAACAATCAAAAAAACCCAAAACCACCAAATAAAATCCTCCTAATAACATATATGCAGAAAGATCTTCTGTAATTTTATATGGAAGATGACTTTTATTAGTTATTATAGTTAGAAGAAAGGTGCATAACTTTTAAGGTAAGTGAATTACTAAATTGAACATACCTAAACCAACAAAGACTTTAAGAGCACACAATGTCATGGAACACAGACAGTTTTAAGTTATAAAAGGATAAGGTCTTGGAAACTGAAAGCGTACCTGCTTCAATTACCTGTTTCATTGGATTAGCTTTAGTGTATGTTCCACACCAAAGTAAAAACAGCCTGATGTCTTAACTTACACACTTCAGTTATAGTTATCTTCCACCATATTATAAACTGGTATAAAACATAACACATACAGAGGCCTAATATAGTGTTAATATTTATAATTTGTATTCAATCTCATGGGGCCTAGCACCTTCCAGAAAAACATCTTTATATGGCTATAAGAGCAGATAGAATGATGGTTTTGTCATTAAGCATCAAACATTTGGTAGTGCATCAATAATTCCCTTTAATTTGCTTTACCCTCAGAAGCTGGGGTGAGCTGTTGGGCCCCGCAGTGTGCTTCAATAATAGTACATTAAATGGAAAGTATCTATGCCTGGCTGACCATTCTGAAAGCTGTTTTTGAGTGGCCTGAAATCAGCTATTTCGATTCCCTACAGTGTCTTGGCCTCAAAGAGAAACAGATCATTTGTAATGCAAATAATCCAACACCTTTAGAACATCACTCTAATAGTGAACTACTAGTGGTATGAAATCTGCAGGCATAACAAAACCCCAAAATATTGACATAAACCTTCTAGTATTGCTAAAATATATAAACACATACAAAAATATAAAGCTTAGGGAAAAAGCCCCAAACCACTAACAATCTTGACTCCAATATTCAGTAAAATACTACAGCATGCCCAAGCTGGATAATACAGTAACATTCACTCTCTTACTAGAAAGCTGCATACACTAAAATCAAAGTTAAAATACTTAAAACTTTAGGACATGCCCAATAACTGCGTGTCATGAAATGTACCGTTGTTTACAACCCAGCAAATAAATACTAGAAACTAGGAATGACGTATACAGTATTGCTATTTTAATTCAAAAAGGGAATGTAAATTGCCTGTCATTAAAGAATTTTATTTTTACTTTTCACATTTTACAGCTTCTGCAGCAGAAGTCATGCTCATCTACTTCTTACAGTAAAAACAGAAAGGGTAAATACAGAGAATTTATGGTATTCCAGCAATAGAAAGAAAGACCAAAACTCCTGGCTGCCTCCTACTACTTAGCCCACTACACCTATTCCTAGGGAAAGGAAGACAATTTCTGCTGTAGCGACTCCTCCTCTATCTAGGCCTTAGCTCTCCATAACGAGCTCCGATGAGCTTAATTCATTGAGTATATGAGAAGATTACGCAACAAGCTCCTTAATTGTTTCAAACACCTGGAGGGGAAAAAAAAAAGTTTTCTTATCTACATAACTGCTAAGACAAGACTTGATGATCCTTGTAGGTCCCTTCCAACTCAGCATATTCTGCAATTCTGTGATCTCATGGCTAAACACTGAGCATCCAGCAGCCCAAAGACTCCCTGCGTTACTCAAGCAACTAAAGCAACAGCAAACAAAAATAAGGACGTCAGCAGTTATTACAAACCTTAACAAAAACACAGGTTGCTAAAATGCTTGCTATAACTGCATTATTTTTTACCACTGTAAAGATCAGGGGCAGATTATTTGTGCAGATCCTGCAGCAGATATCAGAGCAAAGACAGACAAAAAGCTCTGTAAGAAAACTCCACCAAAGACCACATATCAGGCTTTGCCTTCAACATATTCCTCCAGAGGATTTCATTGCCTTACTTGAAAACTGACTTTTAAGGATGGCAAATTTGAATACTTAATGCTATGCTTTTGGTTAAGATCTCCCAAGCATACACCACATAGATGGTGGGTGACTGGAAGCAGCAGAGAACACCAAGTGTGAAAAATAAAGAAGCTAAAAGTGTAGTTAAGTATTTGAGATCTGGGAGATTTCAATTTTGAGATTAGGTCAAAAAAATGGAAAAAACCCTCAAACAAACAACCCCACTCCCCTACAAAAACTACAAAACAAATAAAAAAGCCCCCACCAACCCCCAAAAACTCCATGATTCTAGAAAAGGCTGTTCAGAAAGGAGATAGAAAAACACTCATTTAACAGAGACAACACTATAATGACAAAGAAAAAAATACTATTAGACTTGTAAGTCAAGGAGACTAAAGCATATCTTGTGAAGCACATCAAGTACAGCTACGTCACTCCATTCTGCTGCTGCTCTGGAAATGCTCCAGACAGTTCCAGAAGTGCACTGTTCCACACTGCATTCAAGGCACTAGATCTGCTCAGAGGAGGAGATTCTGCAACCCTCTGTTTAATAAGCTGCTCTTCAAGAACACCTGAGTTAAAAATTTTGTATCAGTTCCTCAACACATCCCAACCATTACAACGTAGGAAGGCAGCTGAAAGCTTCAAGGCTCCCCACATACCTTGGTGAATACTGTTGTGCCTCTTTTCCAGCTGAGGCTATAATGAGGGTCCTACATCCAAGTGAGCCACAGATTTATAAACCCCAGAGGCATTTAAGTTTCTGGTGGTTATGAATTGGTCTTACTGATCTTTGGGAAGTGATCTTTTTTGGCCACTCCTGACAGCTTGAAGAATCAATTTATTTTACATGTTAGATACTGAGTTGATACTGTTTGTTCCCTTAGAAGTTTGTTTTGATTTTTTTTATACTTGAAATCTCTTTCAAGATCACAAAGCAGGTGCTCTTAATTGTTGGGCAACTATGTGAGTGTATACAAAATAGAGCACAAAACAGTGCCATTGGAAGATGCTCAAGTGGACTTACTGACTTTTAAATCTGCAAGTAAGAACCAAGACACAAGTCAGGAATTCTCATCGTAGAGAAAAATCCTTTCCAACATCAAAAAGTTCAATTGTCTAAATGGGAAAGACAAATGTAAATCAAAGCAGCTATTTTGCATAGCCATGCAACTGACATTTTTATCCTGTCCCATAAGGTTCTCTCTTCAGAGTTTTTGTAACAGAGCACTAAAACACAGCTATTAGGCCAACAGTAAGTCTCAGGATGATGTGTTTCTGGCCATGGGAAAAGCCCAAATAGGCAACCATTTGCTGGCATGTGTACAAACAGCAAAGCAAAGCCCTGATCCCTGCCTGGCTCTGCAAAAGGCAACTCACAGCTCACCAAGACTCCTAGGCAGAAGGAAGACCCAAGCAGAGCATATTCTTGGTGCTGACAATGGAAGGTTTCCCCTTCCTCTTCTTGATTGTGAAGACCCGCATCATTTGTTGCACTAGTGTTTCTCTGACACCACAATGAGCCAATTCAATTTATAATCCCAGCCATTTTTTTCTTTTTTAAATGAGACAGGTGGAACTGATTAAAAAAAGCATGTTTATGGATGAGAAAGCAACACTGGAAATTGCCCTGACAAATATGGAAGAAGAGGTTCACTGATGTAACAAAAACAGCTCTGGGCCAAATGATGGGGCAGGTACAGCTACACTTTAGATTGCTATACAGTATATTCTTCAATACAATTAGTAACTTAGTAGCAGGTTAGCATAGGAAAAACCTAAATCATGATTTACTTACAATGCTGATCACAGTCTACTCTAGCAAACACCACTTGATTCTTATCTGGATACTCTTCCTTAATTACGTTAGAAGCTTCCTCAAAAATAGGATGCAGCATTTGGCTGAAGCGGCACCTGTAAATAGAACAGGAAATCATAACTCTGAAATACTAATTTGAAATATTTTGATGACTAATGGAATATTTCAATCTTTGAAGGAAAAAGAAAAAAAAGAAAGAAGAGTTACTGAAAAAAAATCACATCTACTTCTAACAATCCCAGTAAATGTTTGGATAAAAATAGATTCAAAAGTAACTTGAATAATTTGGGTGCCGAAAAAAGTAATTCTAAATGAATACAGAGTTCAAGATATGCTTCCCTGCTTTATCTGCTTAGGAAACGCCATTAATCAATTATAAGCCTTTATGAAATATATTCTATTCAGAAAGTATATTGTTCATTTTTGTTCCTGCCGGAATTAGCCTTGGGAAAGTAATTATAAAAATGTAGTAAAGGAAGATACTTAAGACTGTTGAGTTTCAAATATTCACCATCACCTTCAGGAAGGTCAACAATAGAAGTTCTAAGTGTTGAGTATAATATTATCACTCAAGTTCAGCAGAATTTGAGCACACTGCTTTTTCAGCACTGAGAACAAAGAGAACCCTATGGGTCCCTTCTTTTAGTCATGTCAGATTTTGAAGCAAATTTTCTTTTTGCCCAGTCTGTAGGATTGTAAACATGCTTCAGTGGCTTTAGGGAGTTTAGGGGTTAACACTAATGAACAAGTCGATTTTTAATACATCAGTGAAATTATTTTATATTCTGTCCTTCTAAACTCATGAAAGAATTTCAAATTGAAGATGCATAATGGCACTGTAGAAGTTGTCAGAATGAGACCTCATGGAGCAGACTTGCAATAAACCAGCCTGCACTGAAGCCCACCTCAAACTTAACAGCATCAGCTTGGGGATGCCACTGTGCCTGACACAGAAAACTTCCAAGTGAAGAGGCAAGTTTTGCTCTCAAAATACAAACAGAGCTTAAGTCCATTCTCCAGAAAAACCTGACTCTGGGTACCACAACTATATGCTACATGTTTACGTAGCATGTATATGTTACATATGGCTTCCCTGTCCCTCATTCTTCTCCACCCTTACAGCAGAGTACATGACTGAAACTCATCAGTTCTCATTCAAAAGTCAGGTACATCACAGTCTGCTATGGTGAGAGGTTATTCCTGAATGCCTACATGTAATGATCGTAATTAAGGCTGTAATGTTCTAAAATTACAGCCTACTATACCATGAACCAACTTGCAAGCATATACAAATCTTTAAATTCACAGTGCATCTATTCTACAGAGGATCTGATAACAGTGGGGATTTGGAGAAGGAGCTGTGCTAATAAGGTCCTAAAACAGGATACTTGTTACCTGGCTATATCAAATTTTAAAATATTTGTATCTTCCTTTTACGACAGAAGTATCAGAACATGGGTATTTAGCTACCTTTCTACAGTTTGTCATTTGCAAAATCCAAAAATCATTTTTGAATGGCAACGCAGACCTCAAATTTCAGTGTATTAAATTTACTCTCCATAGGTTTGCCTTCCTTGCTTATCTTTAAGAAAAGAGAGCACTTTTGAAGTAGTCCATGATTCACCAAGTATCTGCAGATCACAAATTGAAAATTAAAAGTTTTGTTTATTTACACATTTTAAAAGATAGCCTCTATGGAATAATTCTATACAAAACTGGTAAGAGATCAGGTCCAGTTTCTTACTTAACTAGTTACTTCGCTGCACTATCATTAAAAAAGAGACATTTCACAGGGGTATATTGCTTAAATTAATTCTAACAATGATTCAGGATGCAAGTTGGGGTTTTTTTTAAATATAATTTCAAGTAAGCAGTTCTTTCTAAGTATGTCATTCATAAGGTCTAACCAGTTCAACCCCAAATTCCTTCGTTTTACAGTTGCTCAAATTTCATCTCTCAATTACAATTTCTCTAGTTCTCCACTTGCAAGCTCTTTTGCAAGCTCTTACAAATTAGAAAATTACAAACTAGAAAAACAATTGATTTTTTTGTGTCAAGTCTTTTTTTCCTAGCACAAACGTATGGGACCAACACAGAAGAAAGTGGAGAGTCTAAATTATTCCAACTTTTTCTTCTGATAGGAGTCCTAAATGAAACATAGGATGGAAGAACTGTAGAAGGGGAAGTAATCAGGACATAAACCCAGGAAAGAACTGGTTTGAAAGCAACATACTACTATATTTTAAATTAGAAAATTATGGCCAAACACGACAGTTTTCAGTAGACAGAGTTTTAAACATAGAAAAAACCATAACTTACCAATCAGCATAAAAATTAACTAAAGCAACATCTGCATTGTCTAAGAGAAAAGAAAAAGAAAAAAACTGATGTCACATTGAGAGGCAACTTCTTAGTTCTTTTATCTAAGATTATAAAAATATGCACAAGAAACTATAAAAGCAAGTATTTCTACATTATTCAGCATATAGCTTAGTCTGATTGCTAGAAGACTGCTAGGATAAATCTTTTCTGAAATATAATCTATAACAAATGGAAGAGTGATGAAAGAGGCCTTCAGTCAAGTGTTCTATTGACTTTATTGATATATTAAAAATGTAAACTCAAGGTATTAAGACACAAAAGAAGTAATTAAGTGACACATGAAACAAAAAGCAATTCTGGATTTAAAATTAAGGTACTCACATCCAGAAATAGTACTTCAATGTATCTCTTAAGCATTAGCTCTATTACTCCTAAGTGTTAAAAAACAGTTAAAAGCTGAAATCTCAACTCTTGGGGTTAGAAGATCGACCAACAGGCAGACTGCCTGCGCAAATTACTCTGGTCAGTCCTTACCTGTCTTATTTGCTAGGAAGGATACTAAGGGAAAATGTAGCAAAGAAATCTTCAGTCCCCCCAAAAACGAAAAATACTAAGAGACACTCACAAAAAGTGCAATACTACAGGGATACATGTGATGAGGTAATGAAATAATGTTCTCACACATTACTTTTCACATAACAAAAAAAAAAAGAAAATACACCAAAAAAGGGTAAATCTCCTGCCTGAAAATAAACGATGATCTTTACACAATATAGCAACTATGCTTTAAATTGATTTTTAGTAGTAGTAGTGGTCTAGACATTGAAAAAAAATGAAATACATACTGAAACTATAGCGTGTCACTCACAGCTTTATAAAGCAGAAATGCTGACAAAGCAGAAAATTGACAAAGTTGCAGAGCAGTTACATGTGAAGATTAAGATGTTGAAAGCCTGGAGATGATACTATGCTGGTAACTTTTGCAAAGGCTGGGGAGCGCTACAGTTTTGATTAGAATTACAGCGTTTAGATTTTCATTATCGGCAAGGAATGCAAGTGGTTAACAGGTAATTAACAAGCACTGACAAGTTTAGGGTTACCTCCAAGACATAAAGTATTTATTGAAAGCAATCTGATACATTTTAAAAGTAGTTACACCTGGATGTATTCCCTTTTATGAATAACATTTTATAAAATGATTTTATATTTTCCACTGTATAGACGGTATTTACAAACAGATCACATACTACAAAGTACTCCTGTAATATTAGACAGATTATAGAAGAGACTTTAATAAAAGAGAATAAAGAGGGTTTTTTCCCTTGATGCATTTGAAACAACGTCAAAACTTTTTTTCCTGCAAAGACTTGCAAAGGCAAATTGCATATTTTTCAGAGGAAAAGGTTTCAGACAAGGAATACACATCTGTTTAATTTACGGATCTCCTTTCTGTGAGCCACCAGAATCAGCACAATGCTTAACCTGAGGAAAAGCACAGCTGAATAAGCAAGATACTTAAGGTCCATCACCATGGTTTTCAGTTGCTGCTATTTTTTTGGGGGGAACTTTTAAAATGCCCTCTGGACAGGTTTTGGTTATGTAATCAAGGATTCCCATGTGCAAACCTGATACCAGTTATTTTTCTTAAGACACTTCAAATTCTCCTTGCAAGACATTACTTCAGACAGCTAATTTTGACCACAGGCATTTAATATTTCTAAGCCAATTGCAACTCAGATATTCAAAGCTAGGGTATGCATATTCATTTAATAACGCTCCAATATTCACACATATTCACACAATAACTGCAGACCTATAAAGAAAAAAATTATTCAAAGTACTCACTTAAAATGTCATCTATATTTCCACTATCTAGACTTGTTATTTCACTTCTTGCTGGACTAAAAAGCCAAGACACCTAAAAAGAGAAAGTAAATCAGTAACGTATGTAAAGTTTCAGCAATAATATAATAACTTATATATGATTCTTAGAGAGTTCCAGTTCAAAAGCTGGCAAAGAACAGTAAAAGAACTGTAATTTAGTCCATGCATTTCAGATGACAGCAGTACTACAAATATACAAATAAACTATTTACAGATATAACATACTCTCACATTTAAAGCAAAATTAGCTATCTCTTAATATAATTCCCTATTACGTAGGCAGAAATGTTACAGGTAAATTTTGCACCTTTAAGAACAACATATTCATAAGTTCACCCCATTTTTGCCACCTAACAACCTCACACAGCCCAGAAGCACGTGGGCTTGGAGTTGCACACTCAGTAATTGCCCCTGCCACTCACAGGGCTTGTCTGGCTAAAAAGTTCCACATTAAGTAAAGCCTCAGTTGCCTACAATTTTATTGATGTTTTAGGAAACAGTTTCAGTATATATAACTCAACTAGCTACAGTATTATCTCCTGTATTTTTACTTGACACGGCTTCAGTCCCAGCATGCAGTAGTCATATCAGACTATAAAAACTGAGGTACCACATCAGCCAAATAATTCAATTACAAAGGAGCATATGTATTACTCTTAATGCAGTTTTCACAGCAATACACGGTTTTATTGAAGAGCACTCTCATATTCACTGCAATAGGCCCAGTTATTTTTGTCTCAAAATATGGTGAGGGAAAAAGAAAAAAGAGTTGCTGTTCTATCCTAGATGAAAGAGGTATCAGTGAATTACAACTTGTTTTTGCTTTGAGAGAGATAAGTAGGCACATTTTTGAGTGGAACAATACAGATTCTGGTCTGGGACATAAATGTTTCCATGCTGAGCAACCTGGTCAGAAAGTCATCACTTCTCTAAGCAGGGCCAAGGCTTGGACCAGATGCTCTGCTGTGATGCCTTCCAGCTTCTGTTTTCAATCGATGTATGGTTCCTCAGGTGACAGAGATAACAAGAAAGGAAAAGGAAGGTTTTCGGTAGGGAACTGACAGGAAGGCACAGGTCAAGGAGTCAGAGAGAGACCACAGATCCCCAGTGACACCTGTAAGGAATTAACCCTCACACTGAGATGTGGCACTATCACACTATCTGACACATACACACTATCCATGCTCCTGGAGACTGTTTACTCGTTGCAGCTGCAAAGAAAATCTGCTTATGGCTAACAAGGCAGAGCTGACAAAAGGCACCAAGGAAAAACATAGCTAGAAGTATAAAGACCATCCAAATAAAAGCACATGAAGCAGTTGGATACAAAGAAACAATTATATAAGGATCTCTGTATTTATGGAAGAGCCTGAGACCTATCCTGAACCTCTGCTAGAACCATAGCTACAAAGAACAAGCCTCCAGGGTACGCCTGCTTTTGACACTGTTTACAATTTATCAAAAGACTCATGCAATGTCACACATCAAGCTTCCTAACAACTGTTGCAAGTGTATATCAAATATTTGCCTAAAAAAAAAAAAAAAAAAGCCAAACTGGATCCCTGACTTTCTTAAGATCAGCATCCAAAATGGTGAGAAACTTCTGCAGCAAGACATTGTCATTAGCTCTCAAACTATCACTGTAAATGGCACACAGGTGAGATCTGCAGCAATCATTTTCAATTTCTTCTCATTTGTGGATCACTATCCATTTCTCAGTGAAGACACTGATTCTTTTGTATTTCCCACATACAGGCGCCCCTGGGTAGCATATACACTCCATCTTACACTACAGGCTGAAAAACACAGCAGCTGTTGCAATAAAAATATGTACCAGTGCTTCTCACTTGGTAACTGAACAAGATACTAATCTTAAATGCAAGTCTCAGATTTGTGGTGGAGTTTGCACAGTGGCACTTTAACAGCCTGCAACGAGCATCTGAACTGTGGCTTCAAGACGACTGGAGAGAAACAAAACTTATAGTTGAGCTGTGAGGTCCATAGATGAAACAGGCAGCATAACAACTCAATTTATTAAAAAAAAAATAAAAATAAATCTGATTAAGCAAGCTATGCAATGCACAAGTTGCAGCAGGCCAGTATTAGGGAAGTTCCTTTGGAGATGCTGGCATTGCTGACTACTGAGCAGCAAACAGGTAGGACTCTGCCTTCAGTCTTTGCAGGGGGAAGCTACACGTATGGACCCAGATCCACACTGGCCAAATCATCCCTAGAGAGGTAATAGCTGATGGCAACCATCAGTGCAGACACCTCTACATCACCCCTGGGGTGGTTCATGGGATGACAACTTCCATGGGGAGGTGCTGGTAGTAGTAGTAATGTTTGTAGTGAAAAATGGGTCAAGTCAGCATGTACATGATGTGGCACAGTTTTTGTTTGTACCCACATGCTGTTTTATTGCAAATGTTAGGATAGACCTAACTTGTGCACAACAGAAGCAGTGGCTATGATTAAGAAAACCAGTTAGAATATTGCTCAAGGTAATAAAGGATAACTCAACATTAATTTTGTTGGTCATCATCTGATCCTCCCACAGGTGACTGCAAACTCAGTGTTCCGAGGCTTCAGCTGCCCTGCAAGGCCTCAAGAACCTCTAATCACCTTGAAGACCACAGAGTTACTTATCCTGCTTATAACCCTTAACAATGCCTTTTAACAAAGAAAATCCACACAAGCCTCTAGAAAGCAAGAACTTCTTAGCTGTTGCACACAGCTCTGCATCACCATTCACACTCAAAACAAATTTCCACAGTAGGTCTTGGTGAAACTATTTTCACAGGAGCTCAGCGTTTTGTGTTGTCTAAACACACCGAACAGGTAAGATATCAATTTCTTAAATCCACATAGCTTTTTCTAGAATAGCTTTCCAATAGCAACACAAATCTTATCTAATAGGATAAATTACACATAAATTAAACACAGCGTAGATAAGCACATTATTTGCAGTCGGGGAACAGGCTACATTACTTAGCAGATACACTTAAACGGATCAGGAACTGTAGTTGCATTTGTAGATTGCTACAATACACTTAACTTGCAATGCAAATATTTAACTGCACCATGAAAGCACACCACGTACTAACCAATAAGATCCTCTGCTAGGCTGTTCTATGTGCAGAAAAAAAGGAATCAAAACTACGACTTCTTTATAGCACAAAAAAGTTTGTGATTCCTTTCTTAACTCTTACCGTGGAAAAATGTGGTGCCAACTGCATGTTTCAATATATGTGTTTCATATATTGAAAGTGAAAAAGGAATTAAGCCATACATCTTATTGCCCTTTTATATTACAGTAGTGCAATAGGTCTGAGACTAAGAGCATTTTTTCCCCAAAAGTTGCATAAAATCTGACATAAGTGAAATACTTTTTCCACTAGAAGTATGAAAATTTCTGTTTGTCGAAGATATTCATAATCATGTTCTCAAATGTTTTATACTGACTAAATCATAGCGGGTACCAAATTCTTCATAATAAGTTGATAGTCTCAGGGAAAAAAGCATTCCTTGAAGAAATGTCAATAAATATGCAAGATGCACTTCAGCAGAAGCTTTCATTAAGGTGTGATGCCTGTAAGGAAGAAAACACATCCTTTTGACCCAGTAATCCTGCTGTTCCATGAGATGCAAGAGGGTTTATGATATTACTAGTATTAATATTTAACATGAAGAAATACAAATTCCTATTTAAATTGCTAAGAAGCTACACTGTTTTGAGAATATTTTCTGACCTTTTTCAGGCCTGTGCTTCATATCCGTGGGCAGAAAACAAGACATTTTGAGGAAACAATTTCTGAATATCAGCAACACACTTTATAAAACAGGTATTAAACACATGTTCTGAAAAATATACTGGCTAAAAAATGTCTTCAGAATTTTTTACTTTTAAATGCAAACTTTGCATTCCACTGGCGTAGAGTGGAAGGACACAGGGATGACTGTTCATGTTTGAAAAGTATTTTTTTTCTTTAGTTACAATCTAACCTCCCAAGATAGCTACACTGAAGAAAGCATCTTGAAAAAATAATTTGAAAGGAAAATTGGTTATGTAAGTACACCTGAAACAACTCAGGTTGCTGCCTTTACACTGGATAAAATTAGCCATGTATATATATATAAAATATAAGATATATATTTCTATTTTTAAATGTTTAAACTATGAAAATCTGAAGGTACAGCTAAGTAGCTATGAAATAAAAAGATTTTAAAAAATAAAGACAGAGTAGGATATTAAAATATTAAATACTTGAATGAAACTACAGAAGTTATATTACCATGTTTATAATCTACTCACAATCCTTTAACACTACAGAAAAACGACAAGCTAAACTATGCACTAAAACAAATGAATGCAGAAAGCTGCACTTACAGAATGCATTGCTGGAGGGAAAAAGTCAGGAACTGAACAATGCATTCACAAAGATAAAATTTAGCTTATATGGGGGGAGGGAAGAAGAGGAGATGACACATACATTTTTACTCTTCTGGTCCTCAGAAACACTGTCAAATAAAGCATGAACATCACAGTTCAGGTTCCTGGAAGCTTCTGAAGGTAACACTGGTCATGTTTTTACTGGGGAGTTTAATTAATACAGAAATGTTAGTATCCTGATTAAATTTTGATCCTCACAGACTTAGCCATCACTTAGCCACTTATGGCTGGAGCCAGTACCAGTCACTTCTGAGGAGTAACTACAAATTATCTGAGATTTATTCGGATTGTTTCTAGAGAAAGACCTAAAAGCCATTATCATCCTTGTCTGACACACGCAATGCCACACAAGCAGCCTTACACAACAGAAAATACTCGGACAAAACCTACTCAACTGACCCCCAACAACGAACCTCTGCCAGGTTTCATATCCCTTTCCCAAAGAGGAAATAAATGCACACCCAGTTTCAACTCACCTATTGACCCTGTTGCTGTTCAACTGTAAAGCCCACTGGTTATTCAGGAGATTTAGATCAACCTTTTATTAACATTTTACTCTTACCAGTTAGTGCTGTTCTTTAATT